CTGGCAGTCAGAGTCTGGGCCAGGCTAGAGGCCTTGCAGGAGGGTGGGAAAGAGCAGGACGTTTTTTTGGCAGTCCAGGAGGCAGTACCTCACTGGGTAGCAGGGGCAGGACTGTTGCCTGTGCAAACACCTTGGCAGGGGCCGGGTATAGTGGCTTATGCCTGCAATCCCAGATACTCAAGAAGCAGAGATCAGGAGGATCGCAGTTCGAAACCAGCCCTTGGCAAATAGTTCTCGAGACCCTATCTTGAAAATACCCATCACAATAAAGGGCTGATGGAGTGGCTGAAGTGGTAAGAGCACCTAACTAGCAAGCATGAGACCCTGAGTTCAAATCCCAGTGCTGCCAGAAAAACAAAAAAAAAAAACCCTAAGAAACAAAAAAACACTGTGGCAGTCTTCCACATTCTTCTCACATTCCTAAAGGTGCCATGCCCCTCTTCCTCACCCCCGCCCTGCCCCATGATGGTCAACAGTTGCAGGCAGAAAATACTGATGCAGTTTCTTGCTATGTCAGGCACTGTTCCAAACTGTGGGGATGCTGCAGAACACAAGGTACCCTTAGTGCAGTGTTCCTGCCTCACAGAGCAGATGATAAAGTCATAGAGTTATTTACCATAAGCCAAAGATGGAAGCCCCTCCTTTTCTTCCTCTCCCTTCCCTTCCTACCCTCCTTTCCCTTTCCCTGCACTGCCCTGTCCTTCTCCTAACCAGTTCTCTACGTCTTCAGGGTTCCCCCCCACCTCAACTTGTTGCTAAGCCTGCCTGCCTTCATTCAGGATTCGTCTCTAACCTCTGTAGTCCTGACTACAGGCTCTGCACTTGACTTTGAGGTGCTTGCTTTCTTCTCTGCCTCTTGGGTTCAACTTTATTTTCTTCTGCTGCTGCCCAAAGAAGCCTGCCATTCTGTCCTTGGTCTCTTTCCTGTCTGTCAGGTCATTTTCTTGTCAGAGATTTCACTAAAGCTCTCTGTGCCAACCAACCCCATGCAGCAAGGAGTCCTGTCAGATTTTGTCTTGCTCAATTCCTCCTCCTCCCTTCCCCTCCTTTCTACTGGATATAGGCATTTCATCTCTGGCCCTTTTGCTACACCTAGCTCACCAGGGAATGTGGGCTCTGGTTCAAGTGTTTTTCCAGAGTAGACTTGCTTGCCAAATCCCACTCTCCTTCCCATCCAAATCCATCATTTTTTGCTTGCTTTCTCCATGGATTTTCAGTTCTCTGGCTCTGTCCTCTAGCTCTTTACCTCCATTTCAAGCCATTCTCTGCTTTTCTCAACCCATTCTCAGTTCCCCCCAGCCCCTCCTCCCAACCATTAGACTTTCCTTGCTGTGACCAGTAACCTGATATAAACAACTTAAGGGACAAAGGATTTATTTTGGTTCTTGATTTCAGTCCATCATAGCAGGGAGAGCATGGTGGAGCTGAGCAGCCCACCTTATAGCAGCCAGGAAGTAGAGAGAAATAATGCCTGCTCTCACTGGCTTTCTTCTTTTCCCCTTTTACTCCATTTGCCCCCCTCCCTCCCAATTCCCAGCCTTTGGGATGGTAGTGTTCAAATTCAGGACAGATCCCCTGTCTCCCTTAGTCAGTCCTCTCTGGAAATGCCCTCACAGCCCCCCCAGAGGTGTGCCTTACTAATTTCCCAGATGTCTCTCAATCCAATCAAGTTGACAATCAAGATTCACTGTGACGCCACCATCATGTATGAGCCCCAGTTCCCTGCCCAATGCTCAGATCTGGGTGCTCCTGGGATTCTGGCAGTACCTCCAAGTCCAGAAGACAGACATTCCCTCCACCTCAGCTCTTCAGAGCCCCTCAGACTGATCCCTCTCGCCTCTCTCCCCCAACTTTCTAGGTAGCAGATTGAGGTCTTCAGGGACTCCCCCACTTCAGAAGGACACCAAGTCTCACAATTCGGTATTCACGGCCTCCTTGGATCTCATTCCATGTCCTCGCCAGGCCCCTTCTTTGTCTGGCATGCTCTTATTGTTACCTGTCACCTCCACAATACTGTTACCACTTTTTTTTTGTTTTTAGAAGTGCAGAGGTTGAACCCAGGGTCTTGCATGTTAGGCAAATACCCTTGGCTTTTTGAGACAGTGTCTCACTATACAAGTTAGACTGGCCTTGAACTAACTATGTAGCCCAAGCTGGTTTCAAACTCTTCATCCTCCTACCTCAGCCTCCTGAGTGCTGGAGTTACAGGTGTGCACCACTACACCTGGCTTAACCACCCTCTTCAGGAGGGGTTTTCAGTTCAGGCCGACTCTCCACCGCTTGTCCCCATGACAGGACATTCGCTTGTCCCCATGACAGGACATTACTAATTTAGTTGGCCACAGTTACTTTGATGCCAGGGCACCCAGTAGGCTGCTAGCCTATCAATGGAACAGGCTTTTTTTGGTCAGGCATTTATCTGTGATTCAGTCAGCTGCAGCCAGCCCTGCTGAGAAGCGGATGTGGGTGGGGAAGGCCTTTGAAATTCAGCAGACTCTTCCAGACTGTACTCCTTAGGGGAAGGAGGACAGCGTTCAACCCATGCTTCTGTGGTGCTGCTGTGTGGGGAGTGTGTGCTCAGCCCAACTGTCACCAACATAGCTCTCTGTGGCTTTCTTAGAAGGGGGACCAGTACCTCATCCCAGAGTCCGTGGATATGGAGTGTGTGAAATACTGCGTGGTGTATGATAACAACACCAGCTCACTAGAGATGGGCATGAGAGGCAACCACAGTCACGAGGATGAGGAAGGCGGTGACGATGGCGATGACGATGGTGATGATAACACTCAAGATCATGGCCCAGGTGGGTTTTTACAACAGTGACAAGAATAATAGTTAACAGCTGGGCATGGTGGTTCATGCCTTTAATCCCAGCACTGGAGAGGTAGAGATAGGAGGATGGACAGTTTCAGGCCAGCCTGGGCTACATAGGATTAGTTATCTGTTGCTGTGGAACAAATGATCCCAAACTTAGCAAGTGAAAATGACAAACGTTAATTACCTTATGGGATCTGTGGGTCCAGAATTCTACTCAGCTGGGAGGCACAGGGCATCTCCTCTTGAGTTTGCAATCAAAATATCAGCCTCGGCCAGGTGTGGTGGTGCACACCCGTAACCTCAGCATTTGGAAGCTTGAGGCAGGAGAATCATGAGATCAAGGCCAGCCTGGGCCACAGAGCAAGATGCTGCCTTGAAAAGAAAAAAAAAAAAGTGAGAGCTGCTGCCACCAAGAGGTTTGGGCCAGGACAACTAGCCATCCAAAGTGACTCACTTCCTGGCTATAGCCAGGAGGCTTGGGTCTCAGTACCAGACTTGGACCAGACTGTTCTATGGGATGGATAGGCTAGCTCATATGCAGCTGGTTTTCCCCAGGGTGAGCAGTCTCAGAGATGAAGGGAAGCTGTATGCTTTCTATTACATGTCCTCAGGACTTACATTTACCTCTGCTACATTCCAGTCATTAGATGTAGGTCCCAAAGGCCAGCCCACCCTCAAGGGGAAGGCTGACAGACTTGACCCTTTAAAAGAAGGTGTTTGAAAGAATCTGTGGACATATTTTCTTTCTTCCTTCCCTTCCCTCCCCTTTCCTTTTTTCGTGGTATTGGAAATGGAACCCAGGATACTAAGGAAGCTCTCTACTACTTGAGCTGTCCTAGGAATATGATACTTCTGCCTCCATCTCTCGAGTAGCTGAGATTACAGGCATGAACCCCCATGCCTGGCTGTGCATATATTTCAAACCACTACATGTGAAAAGTGGTGGGGTAAGGATTTAAGTGCAGGCAGTTTGACTCTGGCCTGTTTCTCTGGGCAAGAACAATGATAAGCTGGAGGGGAGAGCCATTTGGAGTTGGAGTGTTAAAACACATGGTCAGGCCCTAAATGCGCAACCAAAATTCTGAGGATGAAGCTCCACTGATCTTTTTTTAGCCCCTAGTTTGAGGTGACCACCCTTTGCCATTGTCAAGGTGGTGGGACTCTGCTTCCTGTAACTTACTTGGGTGCAGTTGCAGAGGCTGGGCACTCAGATTTCCTGCCACTGGGTGGTGCTAAGCTCTCACCTTTAACAGAACCAGCTTTTGAGATTTTCCTCCCAGGAGTCTTTGGGCTCTGGTTTGCAGTCCTAGGATTATAGGCTGGACCCTGAAGCCCTAGGTAGTGAATAAAAAAACCCCTTTCCATTCTATAACTGGCCTTATTGTGCTATGGGGCCCCCATTCCCACTCTGTAGGAAGCCACAACTCCACATACAACTCAGGCACTTTCTTCACTTAAAAAAATGCCATATTTTGGGTAAAAGCGGTCGTTTGTGTATAAAACCATCTTGAGGTCCCTCTCACCGTCCCCTCCTTTATATTGTTAAAAACCCACTTCCTGGGTCCCCGAGGATATCTGGGTAAGCGGGTAGAAGGCTTCATCCCAACCTAGGAACAGGTTTGAGGATGTGAGATGTGTGTGGGTGTGGTTCTTTCCTGAGGACCTCTGAGTGAGACATAGCAGCCTGGGTGGGCCTCTAGCCACAGGGCACTGTCCTTTCTGTGTCCAAGGCTGAAATGCCCACAGCTGATACAAGTTGTGAGTGGTTCTCTGTACCTAGTGGTGCAGAGCAGTTGCTCATGGCAAACCCTGCCCTGTGCCCTCCTTCCCGGGTTCCCCACCTGGACTGCCCATCCCCTGGAGCCTCCTATACCTTGCCTCAGCCGTGGAATGAGTTTGGTTGCCTACTTCCTCTACTGTGGGAGCTGCAGAGTTCCTAGTGGGAAGTGGGCCACAGCTGTTCTTACCACAAGTGTGCACAGAGCCCCTGTATTTCCTCCACCTCAGCTCTATCTTCTTAGGAGCCAGAAAGTAGCTTCCTTTGGTCTTGGTTTCTGGAGCTTTCTCTCCACACAGCACCCAGAAGGCAATCCCTAGTCTCATGTTCAATCGTCTTTCCCAAGTCGGGCTCTGGACCTAGGAAGGACAGCTTTGGGGAGTCCTTTCCCTTCTTTCAGCAGAGCCTGACTTTGCTGACACTTGTCTGGCTTCGGGAATCTAAAACGCCCATATAAGCAGGCCCTGTTGGTCTAGGGGTGTTCCCCTCCTGTTGAAGCAGTGAGCACCCCAACTGAGTGTGGCAAATCTCACTGTGGGGACTGATGGGGGTAAACACGAGTGGATTCAGTGCTTCAGAAGTGTGGACTCCATTACTTCCCAGAGACGGTGGTTACTGGAGAGCTACCTCCCCTTCTGAGAAAGCAGAGCCTGCTTTCACCTACAGCTGTTTGGCAGGCTAGCCTGGGCTCTTCTGGAGCCTCTGACTATCCCTGGGAAGCTGGCCTTCCTTCATCACTGTCCCTGTTGACCTTGACTGTGAGTAAGCCTCCCACAGTGGGGAAGCAGCTGCCTGGCCTAAAGACAAGCACCATCTGGCCTGGGCCTCCTGCCCCAGTTCCCCAGGGACCTCTGACTTGCCAATCTCTTGCTCAAGAGGGACATGTGAGGCGGGATGACCCCCTGGCTGGACTCCCTGACTTTTGAGCCAGGCCTTGTGGGAAGGGCTTGAGCTCCTGCTTCTCTCCCAGCCTGGGCATAGACTTGACTCGTCCTCTAAACACCGTCCCTCTAGACAGGTCCCAGGCCACTGAGCAGTCCCTCCCGGAAGTATCCGTGTCTCCTTGAACAAAAGTCTACTTAGAGAAGTCAGAGTCCATGCCCTTCTCCTGAGTTTGCTACCCAGCATTCCTCTTTCTGGGACATACCCAGGATCCAGGCTATCTTGGTTTATCTTAATTCTGCAGGCTATCATAGGTGTGCCATTTGCATATGGTCTAACTGAGATTCTGCAGGTCAGCGAAGGTGGTTAAGGTTAAATTGATGTCTAAACCACAATGAGAGCCTGGGTGTGTTGGCACACAGCTATAATCCCAGCACTTGGAGGCAGGAGGATCAATAGTTCAAGCCCAGACTGATTCCAAAACAAAAGAAAACCAAACCACAGTGAGATACCACTTCCCACGCACCAGGATGGGCCTGATAAAAAGACAGACGCTGACGGTTATTGGTGAGAATGTAGAGACATTGGAACCTCTTGCACTGCTGGCCAGAATGTAAAATGGTGTAGCCGTTGTAGAAAATAGTTTGGTGTTTGCTCACAGGGTTCAGATGCGTACCCCAAAGGGATGAAAACACACCCACAAAGAAATGTGTGTGTGAATGTCCATAGCAGCATTATTCCTTAACAGCCCAGTGTCGAGGCAGCACAACTGTCCAACACCAGATGACTGGATGAAACCAAAGTGGTAAATCCATACAGTGGAGTATTATTCAGCCATAAAAAGGAACAACATATTAATACACCTAAAACATAGATGAACACTGAAGAGATTATGGTAAGTGATGTAAGAGAGGCACAAAGTGTCACATGTTCATGATTTGAGTGTGTGAAGAAGCAAGTCCATGGAGAGATTGGACTAGCATTTAACTAGAGCTTGGAAACTGAAGCTGGCTGTTCAGGGTTTTCAGGAAAGTGAATGCCAACTGCACAGGGCTCTGTTTGGGGTGATGAAAATGTTTTCAAATTGACTATAGTGATGGTTACCTAACTCTGTGAATATACCAAAACCCACTGAATTGTATGCTTAATTTGCTTTTTTGTTTGTTTGTTTGTTTGTTTTTTGCAGTACTGGGGTTTGAACTCAGGGCCTCATGCTTGCTAGGCAGGGGCTCTACCACTTAAGCCTCTCCGCCAGCCCGAGTTGTATGAGTGAATTATTTGGTATACAACACACGGTATGATTTGGTATACATAGTGTACATATATAATGTGTATGCTTCCATGTATACGTATGTACCACAGTTTACAGGTTAAAAAATCTGCTTGGTGGTAGTTGCTTTTTGATTTCATGTATGTATGGATGGATTTTTTGGAAGCACTGGGGTTTGAACTCAGGGCCTCCGCCATGTGCTCTACCACTTGAGCCACTCCCCCAGCCTGTTTTTGAGTTTTAGTTGTAACATTCCTCTCTATTTGTCCTTGCTCCAGCTTCCTACGTAATTGCTTTTGAGAAGGACATGGCCATCCATGCCAGCTTTCTAGACAGTGTCGAGCCCATCCACTTACCACTTTGGTCTCTGCTCCTCAGACCTGGTGCCCGGACCCGCTGTGGTGTGTGGTAGGCTCCTGACCCACCTCACCCGCGACCCTGTCCATATCCTCCGAGGGGGCTATGAGCGCTTCACAGCCCTGTACCACTTCTTCCGCACCCAGAAGATCATTTGGATGCCCCAGGTGAGCAAGGAGCAGAGCATAGGCTGGCTTGTCTGGGACACAGAAGAGGAGAAGGAGACACAGGACATGGAGATGGAGGCCTGGAGAGATGAACTGGGGGCAGCCAGGGAGTCCAGTTCAGTGGTGAATTTGTAGCTGTCAATGATGGGACTCCAAGTCACACAGGCATGGTGGCTCGAGGCTCCCTCCATGCTTGACTGGTTCACCAAACCCTAGCAGGATCCACAGGATACAGAAAGGAGTGAGCTCACCATCCCCACCCACAGGGAGCTCTTGATCTATGGGGAAGACAGTGGCTGTAACAAGGGTGGGGGCTGAGGGACACACCAAGTCCCTAAGGGTGAGGAGTTCCAAGGCGGTGATTTGGATGCACGACATACAAGCAAGCACTGGCTGCAGTGATGCATGTACAGCCAGTCCCATGCTTTTTAAATATTTTAAATAACTTAAAATGAATAAAAACAGTCCAGTGTAAGCCAGGATAGTTTAACATTCTAGCCTTAAATCAGAATAAAATCTCACCTCTTCCCATCCCTTGGGTTAGCTGGGGGACGTGGAGTGGGGAGGGGCATCTAGCCCCTTTGGGGTCGGGCTCCAGCGTGGGGCCTGTCTTGTGTGACTGGCTGCTGGTGAGTGGTGGAGGGGCTGTCCCTGCTCTGACCCAGTCTGATTCTGGGTGCTGCTTGTGGCATCTGCTGCTGGGTCTCACCCTTGCCCCTTCCCTTGCTGTGGATTTCCCAGAGAGAGCCAGCCCCAACTCCATTCATCCCTGCCATGAGTCCCCCCAACTCCCTCCTCCACCACTGGGCAGCTCTGACTCCACCTCATCCACAGTCCTTCCCTGAATCCCGGAAGTGTCCTGTGGGGAAGGGTCCAGTAGCCCTCCAGTGGCTCCTCCTTGTCTTGCTGCTTTGCTGCCCTAGCTGGCTTGGGTGATGAGGCAGGGCCGTGCCTGAGGTCATATCTGTTCCCAAAGCCAGAGTACCTGTGCCAGGCTCTCTTAAGACTGAGCTAACAGCACTAAGCTCAGCGGGTGTCTACCAGGCGCCCCTCCTGGCTTTGCAGGGTAGAGAAATTGACTTCTCCTCTGCAAACATTACATGCTGGTAACTCACCCCCGCCTTATTCAAAGCTCTGGGAAGCCGTGGTGGACATATAACAGGGTGCAGGTGTATCTACATCTGTCTGTCTGTCTGTCTGTACATTGGCAGTACTGGGGTTTTGAACACAGGGCCTTGTGATTGAGCCACACCGCACACCTTTTTGCTTTTGCTTTATTGTTCCACTTTTGTCCAGGCTGGCCTCAGACTGTGATCTTCCTACCTCTGCCTCCTGAGTAGCTGGGATGACAGGTGTGTACCACCATGCCCAGCTTGTTATTTTAAGTAGGGTCTCACTAACTATTTTTTCCTATATTGGGGATTAAACCTAGGGCCTCATGCTTGGTGGGCAAGCCCTCTACCATTTGAAGTATGTCCCCAAACCTTTTTTTTTTTTTTTAAACACAGTGTTTCACTAACTTTTGTCCTAGATTGACCTTGAACTCGATCCTCCTGCTTGTCCCTTCTAAGTAGCTAAGATCACAGACTTGTGCCACCATGCCTTCCTTCCCTCATCTCTTTCCTTCTGTACTATACCGCCATGCTGGGGCTGCCATTTGTCTTTCTGTGTCTGGCTTATTTCACTTGACATGTCTTCCAGTTCCATCTGTGTCACTGTGGTTGGACCCAGAATTCACTCTGTTTAAGCACCTCTCCTCTTCTCTCTGACTCTCCACACATTCGGTCCCTTCGTCAGAATTCATTTTCTAATGGCAGATCTGCTCTGTGTGTGGTTTCAAAGTTTTTGAATTCTCATGCCCTGAATTGTAATAAAAGGGCTAACGCTCCCCAACCCCTCCCACCCTCAACTGGATAAGTTCTGGGCCACAAGGCCCTGGACTCCAGTCTTCGAGCACATGGCCAGGTACAAACAGGTGCCATGGCAGGAGGAGGATGTCAGCATTGAGAGCCAGCACTGCTTGTGATGCTGTGGAGCCAGCCCTGTGAATCCTCAGCTTGTGCGAGTTATTCTTTGCCAATCTCTTGGAAAATCCAGCTCTGTGTCACTCACTGTTTTGGGATTGCTCTTTTAATCTGGTTTATGGATTCACATTTCTTTTTTTTTTTTAATTTTTTGGCAGTATGCCAGCTGACTCTTCTGAAGATTCACTGGAAACTGGAGTAACTTTTTTTTGCTGTTTTTGGTACTCAGTACTGGGGCTTGAACTCAGGGCCTCATGCTTGCTGGGCAGGCGCTCTACCACTTAAGCCACTCTGTCAGCCCCTGGATTCACATTTCAAGAGGTGAAAAGCCCTCCTCCCTGGGGCATCTACTCACAGCAGCTTGTCTTCTTCCCCACGCCAGGAGCTGGATGCCTTTCAGCCATACCCTATTGAGATAATACCAGGTAAGGTGTTCCTGGGCAACCTCAGTCAAGCCTGCAACCCTACAATCCACAAGGATTTGAAAATCAAAGCACATGTTAACATCTCCATGGCCTCGACGCCCTTGTAAGTAAGGAGGCACCATTGATTTCCATCTTAGCGTAAGTGTCACTTACCCACAGATGTTTGTTTCCAGGTGCCACACAGTTAGAAGGACTCTTAGCAGTCAGCACACACTGGAGGAGGGTCAGCACTGGTCTTCACCTGTGCCTGGCCTGGCCTTGGTCTCCTTTGCCCCCAGTACTTCACACTTGTCCTATAGACCTCACCAAAAAATAATGCTTTCCTGGCATTTAGCATCACTGTACAAAGTATCTTGTTCTTTTATGCTTCGCCTATCTCAGGCTCTCAAAAATGTCCTCTGTGCCTTGAAATTGTCCTTATACAGGGACACACACACTCTCATATTCGTGTCACTGTCCGATGTGTAGGAAACCCTACACAGTTCTGCTTGTCAGTCTCTGTCTCCTTGCTGTGTCCATTCTGGTCACAAAGACCCAGCACTATAATACCCCTCCCTTTCTAGCTCCCGATCAAAGCTAAAAAAAAATCACCTGAGGGAGAATTTATGGAAGTAACACAAAAATTCAGCAAGACATATGGTAACAAAAAATACCATACAAGCAATTCATTTACTTTGTGGCTCGAGAAACAACAATCAGTAAAAGAGAAAAGATTGAATTCCCACTAGGAAAAAAATGGTTAGATTCTTAGGAATAAACTTAAGAAATGTGTAGAGCTTATGTAAAGAAAACAAAAGTTTAGGCCAGGTGATGTGGTTTATGCCTGTAATCTCAGATGCTTGGGAGGCAGAGATTGGGAGAATCTCAGTTTGAGGCCACCCTGGGTAAATAAGTTAGTGAGACTCCATCTCAATTAGTAAGCTGGGTGTGGTTGTGTGCACCTGTGATCCCAGCTACCTGGAAGGTCATACCTGAGGTCTGAGACTGGCCCTGGGCAAAAACTCAAGATCCTACCTAAAACATAACTAAAGCAGAAACAGCTGATAGAGTGGCTCAAGTGGTAGAGCACTTGCCTAGCCAGTGTGAGACCTTGAGTTCAAACCCCAGTACTGGTAAAAAAACACAAAAGAAAGAAAGAAAACAAACTTTTAAGGAAGAAGATAAGGTATGAATGATGGGGAGACTTTTTTGGATAGGAAACCTAATGTGGTAATGTCAGTTCTCTATAAAATCATCTATAAAATTTAAAAACATATCTGCTACTAAAAGTTCACATAGAGAATGAAATTGTTTGTGATGAATGAGGCCAGCCTTCTAGCAAGAACACCTGGAAGAGCTGGATAAAATGTTTTTTTCTGCTTTATGTATCAGAGATGGACAAAACAGTGAAGAATTAGTGGTTAAAAATCTGGGAGAATATCCAGGCATGGTAGCATATGCCTGTAATCCCAGCACTTGGCAGGAAGAGGCAGGAGGATTACAAGTTTGAAGACAGCCTGTACTGTACAGTGAGACTATCTCAGAAAAAAAA